CCTGAGCCAACAGGAATTTGGTTGCTAAGCAAGAGCGTTGTTAAGTGAGTTTCACCACATTTTACAAGTTGGCCATGCCCACTCAGTCACATGGCTGGCAAGCCACTCCCAACCGGTCACATGGCCGGCAAGCCACTCCCACAAAGCAGGCCACACCTACAGAAGAGGTTCTAAAAATATTTGAAACCCACCACTGTTCCAACCGTACCGGTTTGGATCCAGAACCCACCACTGGTGACAACAACTGACTGGGAAAGGGGCCGACACACCTCCAGCACAACTGGAAGATGCCAGGCGGGCGAGGAGGGGCATTATGGAAATCCAGAGGGGAAAAAAGGAAAAACAACCCCAACATCTGTACCCTCTTTTCAATAAGTCCCTTCACTGGAGAGTCACTGGACAGTCAATTGTCTCAAATGGTATAGGACTGTGGTGGGGAACCTCTGGCATGTGTGCGACAGGGTTACGTGCGCGACAGGGCCACGTGCGCGTGCACGGAGGGTGGGGGGGAGGGTAGGTGTTGTGGCCCTCTGTTCCCTGCGCCATGTTTTCCGTTTCAGGCAGCTTCAGGGAGGCCTGCAAGGCCCAAAACAGGGTGCCAGGGGGTTGCGTGCATGCGCGGGGGGTTGTTGGAGGTCCGTGCATATGCATGTGTGTGTGTGTGTTGTGCATGCATGCACAGCAGTAGGGCACATTCCATTGTGGGCACATGCACCTATGCTGTCTCGTGTGCGCGATTTCGGTACGCGAGGACGAAAAGATTACCCATCCCTGGTGTCGGATCTCCAGCTTGAGCAGTGGGCTGGACTAGAAGGCCTCCAAGGTCCCTTCCAGTTCCATTCTGATTCTTTGAGGCCAGACTGCTTTTCACATGAACTAAAGAGACGCAGGTCTGTGCTTACAAATTCGTGTTTTGGAGGGCAAACCACTCTCACATCTGGCTGGGGGGAAAAAGAAGACAGCTTAAAAAGCACTTCAAAAGAAAAGAAGAAAAGTTTGACCCGAAGTGAACTTACATTAGGGAAACGCCTCTGCTAAGGTCTCGGTTAGGGGTGTTGTCTGAACGCAGCCTCTGGCTTTTATCTTTTAACATAAGCAAAAACCATCATCATCGCTTTAGGGTTCCCAACGTTAGTTAATTTACAGTCTTACCCCTGAGATCTCAATCTGGCCCCATTCCTTTCAGAGAAGCACATTCAAACTTATTGGCTCCCCTAGGTGTGTGATAGATAGATAGATAGATAGATAGATAGATAGATAGATAGATAGATAGATAGATAATGGATGGAGAGAGAGAGAGAGAGAGAGAGAGAGAGAGAGAGAGAGAGAGAGATGATAGATAGATAGATAGATAGATATAGATAGATAGATATATAGAGATAGATAGATAGATAGATAGAGTTATAGATATAGTTATAGATATAGATAGATGATAGAGTTATAGATATAGTTATAGTTATAGATACATAGATAAGATAGTTATAGATATAGTTATAGATATAGATGTCTGCACCAAGAAAGGGGTGAGGATGGATGGCCTCGAGGGACCCTTCCCATTTTAACAGGCAGGTGTGGTCCAAGAGATCGCATGCTGCGCGGAAAAAAATAAAACACATAAATAACGAAGGAGCGTCCGGTGATCGTAGGGGACTTTATAGGTGGAAGTTGGAACTTATATATTTTTTGCAAACTTTTGCAAAATCAGAAACTCTGCAAAAAGTCGCTAACGTGGGCTCTGCAATGCGAGCTCCTGAACTCAGCGCCGCATTTTTTAAGTCACCCGCGTGTAAAAATGCGACTTCGGCGACCAACAGCAACTTTCAACCAAGCTGACTCCGTTCCATCCAGAGTCCCTTATCCGGGCGTCCCGGTTTTCCCCCACACTTTTAACCGCGACTGACAGCCGCCGCGTCCAATGGCCCGCCGCAAAGCGTCAACATTGTGTTCGCTCGGCCCTCCTGGCGAATGAGCACCGCCGGAGTTCGGCATCCCGCCTTCCGTGAGCCAGAAGCGGACGAACGCGGCGGCAGCCATCTTGAGTGTGGCACCAAAAAAAAGCAAGAGCCACCGAGGCAAGGTGAAGTTTCTTTACAGCCGGTCCCGAACCGGGGACCTCGAAAAGTGGATGTGGGTAGCCGCGGAGAAGGCGTCTGCACTGCATGCGGCCCGTTAGACAGCTCGGCTACGCGACGGCACCGACTGGTATCCCAGGCAAGGGCGCCTGGCGCCATCTTAAGTGTGGCAAGTCTTGCCCTTTTCCGCCGCCTCCATTGGTTATTATGGCGAGAGGGGGGGGGGGAGAGCAAAGCGAGCACATTTTCCCCCTTTGCATCCCGGTGGGGGTTGGAATCTCTGGGGTGGGGGGTTGTGAGACGCCCCCTCCCCGAAATGCAACCCCCCCGCGCTTTACAAACCACCCAACTTCGCAAGCAACCATTTTTTTGGAGGGGGGGGGACCAGTCGTAGTTTTGGACTTTTTTGTGGGGTGGGCTGGAAGAGGTTGGGGGGCTGCTGTGCAATGCCCCCCCTTTTTTGCAATGGTACAATTGCAAGCGTTCAACGACCGAGTCTCTTTGCAAAAGCTACCATACGAGGGGGGGGGGAGAAAGCCCTTCGTAGCTTTGGACGGTTTTTTTGGGAGGGGGGCTGCTGTGCAATGCCCCCCTTTTTTTCTTTTGCAACGATGCAATTGCAGTTAACGACCGATTCTCTTTGCAAGCTAACATGCCCGTAAGGGGGGGGAGGGGAACCCGTCGTAGATTTGGGCTGGCTTTTGGGGGGGCGGGCCGGAGGAGCGTGGGGGGGCTACTGTGCAATCCCCCCCCCTTTTTTTTGCAACGGTGCAATTGGAAGCGTTTAACGACCGGGCCTTTTTGCAAGCTTAAGATGCCCGGGGGACGACGACGATCCGTCGTAGCTTTGGACTTTGGGGGGGGAATGCGGTGCAATGCCGCCTCCCCCTTTTGTTCTTTTTTTGCAACTGTGCAATTGCAAGCGTTTAACGACCTTTGCAAACTTAACAGGGCGGGGGGGAGGGAGGCGGGGTGAACCACCGTCCCGCCGGTTTTGCTTGGCTAGATAAGATTCCTCGACGGGGGGGGGGAGAGTGAGAGAAGGGGAAGAAACGCGTGTTCAGCTTTGCAAGGGCTTTTTTGGCCTTTTGGGGACGGGGGCGGGTTCACTCTACAAAGCTGGAGAAAGCGAATCGGGTCAGCCTTCTTTGCAAAAAAAAAGGGGGGGGAGCGAGCAGGGAGTTAAACCCCCTCCCCTGCCATGAACACGCAAGCGAGCGTGTTCCCACGTGTAACACTCGCGGGCGCCCGTCGGGGCCGCGCGAGTCCTCTCTGTCTCCTTTTCTCGCCGGCGCGCATGCGCAAGAGTTGGGATGTTTTCAAGCTGGGAGTGCGCGCGTATTCCCCGACGGGTCCGCCCGTAGGATCGCGCACCCGGCCGTCGAGGGGGAACGGTGCACAGCCTGCGAACGGCGGCTTTGCAACTTCAAAGGGGGCTGCCGGAATGAATGAGGCGAGAGCCTATTCGGAGACGGCCTCCAGCTCGACCTTGGCCGGACGGTCCGCTCCGTCTGCGGGCGCCCCGCGCGATCCAACAATACTCTCGGTGTTGCGCATGCGCCCTTGGAAAAACACACACACCCCAACCCTCCCCCGTCCATGCAAGAGAAGCGGGGGCAGCTCTTCTCCTCCCTCTCTCTCTCTCTCTCTTCGGCTGCGCGGCCTTTCGCAGCGCCTCCCTCCTGCCTCCCCCCTCCCCTTCTCTTTGCGCGGGGAGGGAGGGAAGGAAGGGAGGGCGCAAAGCGGCCCCCCGACGGCCCGTCAGCAGCCTTGCCCCATTGTCCGGCCGCTCGCCCAATGGGCGCGCTCGGCTTCTCCAGGGCCGCCCAATCGGGGCCGGCGAGGGGAGGCGCGCGCCGCCCACTCCCCTATATAAAAGGCGGCGGCACCGCGTGAGCCCTCCACTGGCATCCAAAGCCATCTTTGCATTGTTCCTGCCCCCCGGGTTCGTCGGGCTGCGCTAAGTCGTCGCGGGGCTTCGCTCTTCTTCATCCCCCATCCTCCTCTTCCTCCTGCCATCCTCCTCTTCCTCCGCCTTTGGCGAGCCAAGCCAGCGTACGCGCCCTCGGATCTCTGCCGGCGCCTTTTTTTTTTTGTACAGTCGCGGGCTTTTCCTCAGCTCCCGCCGCCGACGCCGCACGGTTCTTTCCCCCCGTCCTCCCCCGCCGCTCCAGCCATGTCAGACACAGCCGTGGACACCAGCTCCGAGATCTCCACCAAGGTAAGCCCGGGGAAGAGGGGGCTTCCCTGCCGTCGGATCGGATGCTTTGCAAATCCCCCCCCCCGCTTCCTTCGATGCCATCCCGGCTTTTTTCCCCCTCCCGTGGAAAATCCGCGCGGGTTTTTTGTGTGTGTGTGTCTTGCACGCGCGCGCGTGTGCAATGCCTTTCCTTGCGCTTTCGCTTCCCTGCAACGCGCGGCGGCGGCGGCGTTGCACTCGTGTGTGTCTCCGCTCGGCTTCCTCCTCCCTTTGTTTGCCCAGCGGCGCTTTGCCCGGCTTCTTTTCACCTTCGCCGGCCTGGCATCCTTGGCGTGGATCGGGGAAGAGGGGGGTGGTGTTTGGGGGGGGGGCAGCCTTCCCTTCTTCTCCTTCTCCCCCCCCCCTCCCCAGCCCGGAAACCCCCTTGGAAGGTGGGCAAGGCAGGTGGTTTCGCGGACCGTCCCGGGCTTTTAATCCCCCCCCCTTACCCTCTGCCAGGCTCGGATCGACGGGCACCGCTCTGCCCATTGAAAAAAGAAGAAAGGCGGCTGAGAGAGGGGGGGGGGTTCTTTGACAGACGCGGCCAACTTCAAAGCTATTGTGCCCGGCGGGTGGAAGAACCGGAGGCGAGCCGGGCAAAGGGAGGGAGAGAGGCCGGGCTGGAGGGCGACGATCGCAGGCGCCGGCTTGGCTCCTTTTGCCGCGCACCTGAACCGGAGCGCGGCTTCGGCTTCCCATCTCCTCCTTCCCTCGCTACCTGCCTTACTTTACCCCCCTTGGGGTGCCAGCGGAGCGTGTCTGTGCGCGTCCGTCCCCCCCTTCCCTCGTTACCCTAATTGGCCGGGGCTAATTGCGCGGAAACCGCTCGGCGACCCCCGCTGGCCCGGGAGACGATCGGAAGCGGTTTGGCAGGAGGAGGAGGAGGAGAGGCGGTGGGGAGGGGAAGGAGAACCCTGGAAAAGGCTCTACCCGGTCGTCGGAACAGGCGATCCGAGGGCTCTGCCCGGCCGGCGCGCTTCTTTGTTTACAGCAGGCAGAGCGCGTCGCGGCTGCTGCTGCTTCCCGGGGCGATCGCTCCGGTCCCAAAAAAAAACCCTTTTCCCACGGAAAGGGAGCCACGGCGACCCCCGACGGGGCTCCGAGGGCTGAATCGGGACTCGGGAGAGAAAAGGGGGATCTTTCGCCGTTCCTTCTGCCCCCCACTTCCTTCCTAAAGTTGGGGCGCCCCCCTTTGAACTCGGATGGCCCCTAACCCGGCTTTTCCTCGGAGTTCCGACGTCGTGGGTGGGGGGGAGGATAAACGGAGACGTCGGAAGGCGGATTGGAAGCTGCCCGGCTGAACTCGCGCGTCCCGATGGAGGAGGAACTGGTGGGGTGGGGGGAACGACGCGGAAACCCCCCCTCCTCGTCCGATTCGGGCTGCGCGATGCTGCGCTTTCGGGAAGCCCCTTCCCCGAAAAGCAGACGGGGCGAAAGGGAAAGAGGGCTTCGTTCCGGTCCGTTTCCCCGTCCCCCAACCCCCCGTAGGGCACTTTCCCTTTCGCGGGAGAGTGATACAATGTAGCGACAGCCGTCGTTGTTGGGTGCCGGACGCCTGGGTGGGTGGGTGGAAGTCCTTGAAGGGGGGGGGGTCGCCGTCTGGTTAGTCTGCGGGGATGCCGGAGGGAGGGAGGGCTTCGCAATTCCGGCCCCCTTTTTCAGTGGGAAGGGGCGGCCGGGAGCCCCCCCCGACGCCGATCGTCCGGGACCCATCATCCTAGAGGGGAGGGGGGGAGATATTGTGGGGGGGGGGCTTTTTGTTCCCGCAAAAGGGTCACCGTTGGGGCAGGTTGCAAAAGCGGGCGCCACCACCTGCGGAAGGGGGGGGATCTCGACGGGGAGGGCAAGGGGGATCGGGGATCTCCCCTTGGGGAAACCCTTATTGGGGGGGGGACGTATCGACTCTCCCCCCCCCACTTTCTATCTATCTTATTCCCAATCCTGGGAAAGCCTTGCGCTGCTTTTTTTTTTCTTTCCCTCTCGCTCCTCCCGGCATCTGGGCATTAAAATGCATTTACGAGCTTGAGATTGATTTCCCAGGCGGGCGGCGGCTCTTCTCTCCAGCGCCGCCCCCGGCTGTCTGCGGGCCGCAGTAAACAGCGAGCGAGCGGTAAAAGCCAAAAGCCGCCCCACCACGTGCCGCTTTCTCTGCTGCTCCGGTTTCTTCCCCCCCCCACCTTCTCGCCCGCGCGCGGCGCCTCCTGGGAGTCGTAGTTCGCTCGCCGGCCGCTTTCCCCCTTGACTGCGCGCTCTCCCGCTCGGAAAGAACTACGCGCCCCGGCGTGCCTCGGGAGGTTAGGGCCGGCTGGCCAATCGAAGTGGCGCCAACTGTGGCGCGCAGGTTTGAATTGGCCCAGAGCGCATGGCCTTCCTTGCCCGCCGGGCGATGGGCGTCCCCTCTCCCTCTTGCGCCCCCTGCAGGAAGGAGGTTATTGTTACTGCAAGCTCGGGTGTTTTTGTTTTTATTTTAATGGGCATTTGAAAAGCAAAATAAAAGCTTTGAAAAACGAAGCCAAAATAAAACAAGACACCCACACACACAAACAACACACATACTTGCCGACAGAAGCACTTAAGAATGCCTGGAGTTAATAACTGGTGCATCAATGCACATTTGGCAGTGTGTGGTTTTTTGGCTAAAAGCTGCAATCCTATTGGGGTTGTATGCGTGTCTCCCTTATTATGCCTTCTGTTCTACTGCCTGTATTCTCTTGTTAGTAAATGGTATTCTTCTGAACTGGCTTCTGTATTGATGGGGGATATTAATAAAACATGGTGCCTCTTAAGATATGCACAATGCCGGACCTGGCCTTTGTTCTGTGTTCTTTTTACTGCAAATATGCATCTTGTTTTTGCCCTGCCTAGATCAAAAACGTTAGGACGTTTGTAGCTGTTGTAGCTGGCCTTCAAGCAGTAAACAGCTTTTCCCAGGCTTATAATTACAGGGAACTCTTATCAGGATCTTGTCAAAGACGTAAACATTTGACTTCAAACATGTTGTTGCTTGTAAGCTGCAGGCTCTGTGGTGGGTGATTTTCTAGGAGATGCTGTCTAGGGAAAAAGAGAAAGGGGGGGTGGGAATTGTGATCTTGGAATGGCGTTGCGGCAATCACGGCTTTTGTGGCCTCTGCATCAAAGGCAGATCGCTTGGGATAAAACCACCCTCTCCCTTGACACGAGAGTAAAGAGTTCAAAGTTAGGAAATCCGGTTCCTTTTCCGACCAATTTTGCTGCTTTCCCTACCCCAGAGCAAAGCCGTTTTTTTTTTTGCTTTTTTTCAGAAGGGGTATCTAGGAATTAGGCATGCGGTGGCTAAGATGCTGAGCTTGTCGATCAGAATGCGGTTTGAATCCCTAGTGCCACATAATGGAGTGAGCTCCCGTCACTTGTCCCAGCTTCTCCCAACCTAGCAGTTCGAAAGCACGTTAAAAAATGCAAGTAGAAAAAATAGGGGACCACCTTTGGTGGGAAGGTCACAGCATTCTGTGCACCTTTGGTGTTTAGTCATGCCGGCCACATGACCACGGAGACGTCTTCGGACAGCGCTGGCTCTTCAGCTTTGAAAAGGGAGATGAGCACCGGCCCCCTAGAGTCGGGAACAACCAGCAGATATGTGCGAGGGGAACCTTTACTAGAAAGACTGCCACAATTCAACCCAGTTTTTGCAACCATTCAAGATGGAAAAAGTAGATTCAGTTGGAGTTTTTTAAAAGTGAATTCCTGATCCTGGGTCCCACTTTTGGCCACAGTTTTGAGGCACATGGCAGCTAAGATCTGTGAGCTGTATTTTTTTTGGTGGGGGGTTGTAGCGTGGTCTAAAGCTGCTAATCGGGTTTGGGTTTGGCTGGAAGCTGTTCCGTGCTGCCCTGAGAGGTTTAAGGAAGGTGTTCGTTTTAATAAATTGCGGGAAGAGAAAAAGGGGGCCTCCTTATTCCTTGCCATGCCTGCCTCTGGGCATCTTGTTTTTCCCTCCGCAGGCCAGCCAGGAGTGTGTCTTCTCGCTGAATTGTGTGTTTATACGAAGGCTCCCTCCCCTTTTCCGGTGGGGAGGCTGTGTTGTCGTAAATCTGTAGCGTGCCCTTCGCCTTCGCAGCTCGGAACACGCCAAGACACAACAATGCATGGGTCTTTTTTTAGGAAAGAGGGGGTTAGTTGTTTAGTGGCAGGTCAAACTTCCTCGCCAAGGAATTGCACGCTCACTTGTAGGGAGAGGGAAGCAGATGGAGAGGCCTTTGAAAATGAAAATAAAGTGAATAAAAACGCATAACAAAACACACTTTGCCTTGGGGAAGAGTTTTGAGTCCGGTTAATCCCCTCCGTGGGATGCGGTGGCTCAGCGGTGAAGACGCTAAGTGGATCAGAAAGGTCCGCGGTTCGAATCCCTAGCGCCGTGTAATGGAGTGAGCTCCCGTGACTTGTCCCAGCTTCTGCCAACCTAGCAGTTCGAAAGCACTTTAAAAAAATGCAAGTAGAAAAAATAGGAACCAGCTTTGGTGGGAAGGGAACGGCGTTCCGTGAGCCTTCGGTGTTTAGTCCTGCCGGCCACATGACCACGGAGACGTCTTCGTCCAGCGCTGGCTCTTGGGCTTTGAAATGGAGATGAGCACCGCCCCCTAGAGTCGGGAACGACTAGCACATATGTGCGAGGGGAACCTTTACCTAATCTCCTTTCTTGGAGAGGTTCGTGTTGGCTGTATGGAACGAAATTGGGGGCTGCAAAGGAAGCCGAAATGTACAAGTCTCCATTCCTATGTAGTAATTAGTTGTCTGTCTTGTGTTCGTTTTCCGAGTTTTTAATAGATTTTTCGAGTTTTAATAGAACTCGAAACTTGGGTTTTGTTTTGTTTTTTTCCCCCCCCAAAAAAGGAGGGAGGGAAAAGGGTTGTCTTGTCATTCTCCCTGCCTGGGAATTTGCGCCAATAATGTCAGGGAGGCTGGAATCCCAATGATTCACTCTGGTTTCTATCTTTTTGTTTTGCCCCTTTTAAGGATTTGAAAGAAAAGAAGGAAGTTGTCGAAGAAACAGAAAATGGCAAGGAAGCCCCCAACGGCAATGCCGTAAGTATCTCGGCTGGGATGGAATTGGGGGAGGATGCGGGGGGGGGGGCAGTTGACAGGAACATGGAATAATTGAATTGGAATGGAACTTGGAAGAAGAAGCCGGCGAACTCAGATTGAATTTTCCTAAGTAGGAGAAACTTTTTGCAAAGTTGTTTTTTTTTAACTTCTCAGTCCTGTGAAAAACATCACTTGCTTCCTGATTCACACAGCCCTCCCAGGTATGATTGATATAACTTGGGCCGTTCGGGCTGGGATCCTAAGCCTAAACCATTAAGAGTTTAATAATCTGAATTAGCATGTTCTTGCAAACTATAGATATCTGCTTGGTTTAATTTAGAGAAAAGAAGGACTTAGGGGAGACACGATAGCAGAATTCCAATATCTCAGGGGTTGCCACAAAGAAGAGGGAGTCAAACTATTCTCCAAGGCACCTGAAAGTAGAACAAGAAGCAATGGATGGAAGCTAATTAAGGAGAGAAGCAAACTAGAACCAAAGAGAAACTTCCTGACAGTTAGAACAATTAATCAGTGGAACAGAAATTGCCTCCAGAAGTTGTAAATGCTCCAAAACTGGAAGTTTTTAAGATGTTGGACAAACAAGTGGTGTAGGGTTTCCTGCCTAGGCATGGGGTTGGACTAGAAGACCTCCAAGGTCCCTTCCAACTCTTGTTATTCTGTTTTGGAGGATGTGTGTGAACCCCATGATATTTAGTTTCTTTCCTGTAAGGAAGGAACGCCGGCCCATATTTCGAATTATTTTATCGATAACGGGGAGTAGAAAGTAGTGCATCTTAAGCGCAGTCCCTTGAAGACGTGCGTGCTGACTTCAACTCCCAGAATTCCCCAGCCAGTTTATGATGCTGAGCAAGGGAGGGGGGGACACACGACCTTTTTATAACTTGTGGACTTCAACTCCCAGAATTCCTGAATCAGTCATTGGGTGTAGAGACAATAAGATCAGAGGTCTCCAACTTTGGCAACTTGACGACCTGTGGACTTCAACTCCCAGAATTCCTCAGCAAGCATAGACCTGTGGACTTCAATTCCCAGAATTCCTCAGCCAGCTATGCTGGCTGAGGAATTCTGGGAGTTGAAGTCCACAGGTCGTCAAGTTGCCCAGTTGACATGCAGAAACTTGGGGGGAAGGGGTGAGGGTCTCTTAGCAAAGTTTTATCCCCCTCCTTGTGCTCCCTTTTAGTTTCCGCGAACCGCCCTTGTAAATGACAATTCTTACTTTGGTCACAGCTGTGGGAACACCGTGGCGCCTTTGCTACAGGCCACACGGTTCTGCCAGGGCCTATTAAGTCCCAGGGGGGGTTGGTTGTGAAGTGGGGAGGGGGGGTTGGTAGGCTCCCCGTTTTGGGTTTTTTTAAAAAAAAATTTAAAAGTGTGCTTCGTTTCCGCGAAGGCGAACGAGGAAAACGGCGAGCAGGAGGCGGACAACGAGGTAGACGACGAAGAGGAAGAGGTCGGCGACGAAGAGGAGGATGAGGAAGAAGGTGACGGTAAATTCCACACCACCACTCTTCTCCCCCTCCCCTTTGGGAAATGTAGTCTATGCAAATGGAAGGGGCGCCTGGTTGGAGAAGATTTTAGTAGCCTTTAGCGCTTGGTGGGGAAGTGTGGCGGGGTGTGCGGCTCCCCCTGGTGGCCGCTTCTGCACAGCGCACGAGGAACACATCGATTTTGTGTTTTTACACACCAAGGGGGGGTGGGTGATCTCAGCATGGGGAAAGCTGCTAAGTAGGATTGTGTGTGCCTTTGCACAACGGGTGCCAAGAACTGGAATTCACAGAAGTCTCCAGGTGCAACCACTTGGGGGGTGGGGGGGATTAATAGGAACTATCTTCTTAAATGACATGGAGGACCGAGCATCTACATAAGATATTCACCATCTCCTGGTTTTTACACTGGTGTTTTAACCACAAAGCCAAACTGGGCTCTCACATATAAGGCACTACATAACCCAACCTAAGGTGGCTCAGTGGCTAAGACGCTGAGCTTGTCGATCAGAAGGTCGGCGGTTCGAATCCCTAGCGTTGCGTAACGGAATGAGCTCCGGTGACTTGTCCCAGCTTCTGCCAACCTAGCAGTTTGAAAGCATGTGAAAAAATGCAAGTAGAAAAATAGAAACCACCTTTGGTGGGAATGGAACAGCGTTCCGTGTGCCTTCAGCATTGAGTCATGCCGGCCACATGACCACGGAGACGTCTTCGGACAGCGCTGGCTCTTCGGCTTTGAAACTGAGATGAGCAGCGCCCCCTAGAGTCGGGAACGACTAGCACATATATGTGAGGGGAACCTTTGCCTTTTATTCTGTTAAATCTCTTGCCTCCTAAACCGGGTTTACTTTTTAACCTTTTCTTCTAACCCTGATTGCAGCTGGTAGGTTACATGCAAGCTTATATTTCCCGTCTCTTTCAAATCCAACAGTGCTCTCATTCCAACCAGGAATCTCTTGAAAAGAAAAGTTTTTATTTATTTATTTATCCCACCTTTGTCTACAAAGTTTTGTCAGTAGTCCAGGTCATAGTTTTCCCAATGGTTCTTTTTCCCCCCTCCTTTTGGACCAACTAGATCAGAAAGTGCAATTTCCTCTTGAAAAAGCACCTTTGGGAGCCACATTTATTATTTTCATAAATTCACACACTTTTCATTTCATTTTCATTTTATTAGCATTTATAGGCCGCCCTTTTCCCTGATGGGACTCAGGGCGGCTTACAATGATAGGGGAAGGGAGTGCAGGACAAAACACAAAAAGAAAATGTGAATAAAAATAATTAGCAATAAAAACCCAACATTCATTCAACATTCGGGAGGGGCGAGTTCGGGAGGGGTATGAATCATACTGTTTGCCTTCTGCTCTTGTCTTGGCTCCTTACTCCCACCCATGTATCCATGTCCTTGTAAGGTTCTTATAGGAACAAGTATCAATACAACAGTGTCA